TTATTTTACAGTTAAAATAAATGTTTATCAAATAAAGTCTAATGTTACAACTAATCTGGGATCCCTTTAAAATGTGCAATTTAAAAACATTTACTGTGGATGAGTGGTCATTTTTCATTAGGTATTAATTACACTATAAAAACAATAAATGACAATTTATTTGGTTTTGTTTTTAATGAAGTAAATCCTCTCTCATGTTGAGAACAAATGTAGGACTTAAAATGTGAGTGACTCATAAATTTGTGTTTGACAGAAAAGTTAAAACATGTCTAAACTCACAGAGACTTCAGTCTGGCCTTCATTCAAAGAAAACACTTATTTTCACAAAGCGTTTAGTTTCTTACAGGTAAAGCTAAACAAATCCTCTCTAGGTGTGTTTGATGGTGATACAAACACTCAGAAAGGCCAAAGATTGTGAATTCCTGGGTGAAGTCGTGTCAGCTGCAGTTAACTTCCTGAAGGACACGAGCGGCCGGCTAAAGCTAACAAGCTAACAGTGTAGTGAAACGGGATCAAAGACAAACACACAACGAGCCGAACTCTTCAGCTCAGAAAAAAACATCACAACAGCACAGCCGAGAAAAGATATGCTGCTCTGTTAGCGAGTTTTCATAAATAAAAAATGTTTTTCTTCTTACCAGTGACCTCCACATGCTGCCTGAAGACATCCTGCTAAGAAGACGAAAAGTCTCACAGATCGTCTAATGGTGTGATGATTCACCACGAGCTGCTAGCGAAGACAGTCCGGACAAAGATCGTCCTCTATCCAGATGACTCACTCTGAAGGGTAGTGTGGTCTTTTGTAAACGTTTGTATTACGTTGGTTTGTGTTTCATAACGGTAAATCATCATTCGCACGATTGTTTTTATTTTTATAGTTAAAGTTGAATAAAATTTTATACATTTTGCATTTTTAACTCAGCTTACAAATCTTTTATTAACAGAAACAATTTGACATTTCCTCAGCTCCATCAAAAACAATGTTCTCTTTGAAATCTAAAAGTACTAAAACAATTTATTGAAGTAAAAGTTCAGATAGTCTGTTTAAATTTTACTGAAGTACAGATAAAGTTACTTATAGAAAAATCTAAACTGTATTGTCCCTCAGCTGTTCTCRTCTGCATGTGTCGACACGGTGACCCAAAAGTTTTCACCAATATTTCTGCCCTTCTTTCTGCAACCTGGACTCAAACCTGCAGCTTTAGGAGTACAAAGCTATACCACTGAGCCACACAGGCAAAAGTAAAATCTAAGTAATTTAAAAATTACTTTCTGGAAAATGTTCTCACTTTCTCACAGCAGAAGTGCACTAAAGACAAGAAGGTTATTTCATATTTTTCATATTTTAGTTGCAATTTCATAATAAAATATCCATCTATTTATTTATCTTCCTTTCCATATTAAAGCATACATAATATTTAAAACAGTCACTGCTGGGCAAACTAAAACATTGTGATAGTGTTAGTCTGCAAGTTGTGCACAATTTACAAAGACCGCGCATGATAACGGGTGCAAAAGTGTTGCAGACCACCCAATCAAAATGAGGATTTTGTGTGTGCTGCTGGATGCTATCATTGAGACAAATAACACAGAAAATGCAGTGTCACAAGAAATGTTTATTAGTTTCCCGTTTATTTGTTTTATTAACTTTTTTGTTGCAGATATCTTCCTAAAAATTAGACACAAACATAATGAAGAGCTTCACATAATTATTATGCATGCTAGTTAGCTTGTCGCTATGCTAATTAGCCWCTCTCTCAAGATCAGAAATAGTTCACTGAACAACTTTTTCATCCAGAAGTTACGTTTCTGTTTCTTTCTTATTAAACTTTGGTGATAATTTCCGCTCATAGATTATCTATGTGCACTAAACATTTTGTTTTGTTTTTTATCATCTGAGAGTATCCTAGTTAAACAGATTTGGACATAAGAAATAAAAAGTTTAACTATTTATTTACTTTGATGATGATGATGATGATGATGATGATGATGATGATGATGATGAAAGCCTTTGTCGTCATCGTTTGCACAATGAAATCACATTTAAGAACACCCATTCAAGAAGACACACACGACAAAAACAAACTTTAATTAACATTTCAAATTTATGAATCAGTGCAGCAAAATAAACTAATTTGAAAGGTAAAAGACAAAAAAATCCTTTTTTTATGTAATGCACTGGTGCAGTAAAATATATATTTTATTCATTTATTATCATTTTTTAAAATCCAATGTCACCAAACGTGCATCGTAAATTGGTCTTCAGTCCAAAGCTTCTGTTCAGAAACACTGGAACTGTGCTACGAAAATGATTGACAGRTCTGGTGGGTGTGGCCAATTAGATTTAACCCCTGTGGCCACGCCCCTGCTGTCTTACAGCCTCCTCCTCTTCCTCCTGTGAGAAGCAGAATTTCCGAGCAGCCCCTGAATGCACCCTCCTCATCTTCCTCCTGTGAGAAGCAGAAGTTCCGCGCAGCCCCTGAATGCACCCTCCTCATCTTCCTCCTGTGAGAAGCAGAATTTCTGAGCAGCCCCTGAATGCACCCTCCTCCTCTTCCTCCTGTGAGAAGCAGATTTTCCTCCTCACTGCCCCCAGCAGCCTCAGACTTGGATCTCTGGCGTCTCGTTGGCCCGAGACCTGGTTCTGGATGTGAAGCCGCCTCACAGACCTGATCCTGGAAGAGAAGCGTCCTGACTGCGGCGGCGTCTTCCAGTGGGATGCAGCTGTGTGATGGGAGGATCCAGCGGACACGATGGGCAACAAGCAGACGACCTTCACCGAGGAGCAGCTGGAGGCGTATCAGGTGACAGGTGTTTTCAGTCTGCCCAGGCTCGCTGCCTTTTTATGCATCACAGGAACATAAATCAGAGGTCAGAGAAGAAAAGCCATGAAGAGTCAGAACAGGGAGAACAGAGGCTGCTGATTGGCTGATCTCCAGCCTCCATCTGCATCCTGCTGCTGCTGACTGATGCTCTGAAATCAAACTGTCCCACAGGACCTGTCCTGTTTACCTGGCTGTTGTTGTTTATTTGTTTGTTTGTTTGTTTGTTTGCTTGTTTGTTTGTTTACAGGACTGCACCTTCTTCACCCGGAAGGAAATCCTGAGGTGAGTTCAGCCCTGCCTCAGTGAGTCAGAGGAGCTGCAGGTTTAAATACATCATGTTTGTTAGCAAGGAGACGTCTTGTCTGTTCTGAATAATGACAGSTCTGTCTGTTAGCAAAATATCTCATGAACTACTGGAGGAGTTTTAATGAAACGATCAGAAAAGACTCATTTGACACATCTACAATCACTTTATTGAGATTTATTCTATTTCAACAGTTTATCAAACGTTCAGCTCCTTCAGGATGTTCTGTCTGACGTTTGCTCAGCAATTTATCATTTTTGAGATATTTTAGCTTTTTCTGCCATCTTTTATTGAAAATGAACACAGCGGTYTTCATTAAAACTCTTTAAAATGTTTATAAATCTTTTCCTTTTGTTCTGCCTTTTTAAAACCGCCCTGTGCTCATTTTAGCTTCCTTCGGCTTCTATTTTTATTTTTTATTTTTTGGCTGGTTTGAGCTTTTTTCTGACCTTTTCTGCTATTCTTCTACTAATTAAAACTTTTTGTGCTTCTTATTTCTGGTTTTTTAAGCTTTTCATGCATCTTTCAGCTGCTTCCTACTAACTTTAGCTGTTTTTTGTGTTTTTACCTAGCTAATTTGAGCTTTTTTAAACAAAATTCACATTTTAGGATCATTTCAGCTTCTAACTGCTCTTTTGTTTCTTTGTGCTAATTTCAGCTACTTTTAAAATATATTTTACTTAATGTACTTAAATAATACAATATACTTAAATATTTAACTTGCTAGCTAAATATTTAAGTTGCAACCTAAATATTTAATTTGTAAGTTAAATATTTAGTTTATAAACTATGACATTTATAAATGTATGAATCATATGGTGAAAAACTGACTTTGAAAATAAATCTGTTCTTTTTTTCTTATAAAAGTCTAAATAAAACAAAAGTATTGGTGTTAATGTTTGACTGTGTAACTTTACAAACGACACCACAGACGATGTGCACTCTGTAGAACACCAAGCCTGTCGTTGAATCAGTTTGCAGAGATGTTATTGATCYAAGCGTCTGTCGTCTGCAGTCTGCATGGAAGGTACCGGGAGCTGGCGCCTCACCTGGTGCCCCTGGACTACACCAACAACCCCGACATCAAAGTCCCCTTGTCGCTCATCGTCACCATGCCTGAGCTGAAGGTAGTTTTTCTGCCGGAGCCCCGCCCCCTGCTCAACCGTTTCCATTCACCGACCCGTTCCCTGCTGTGTTTGTGACAGGAGAACCTGTTCAGAGACAGGATCGTGGAGACGTTCTCTGAGGACGGACAGGGGAACATGAGCTTCAACGACTTCGTGGACATGTTCTCTGCTCTCTGTGAAACCTCACCCAGAGAGCTGAAGACGGTCTACGCCTTCAAGATCTACGGTAAGATCCAGGTTAAACATGGACKTTGTCCCGAACTGCTTCAGTTTTTACTAAGGATGTTCAAGCTTCAGTTCTGTGATGGTTAATGTTTCMGCGTGTTCTCTGAAGCTCTGCAGTCAGTTTCTGTGCCTGTTTCTGGTCCAGACTTTAACCGGGACAACTTCATCTGCAAGGAGGACCTGCAGAAGACCCTGAACAAGCTCACCAAAGGGGAGCTGACGGCGGAGGAGGTCACTCTGGTGTGCGATAAAGCCATCGAGGAGGCCGACCTGGACGGAGACAGCAAGCTSTCCTTCGCCGACTTCGAGAACATGATCTCCAAAGCTCCCGACTTCCTGAGGTAAAACTGCAGCTTGTGTGTTTGTGCCTTTAAAACCAGCCGCAGGGTCACACYAACGTGCAACTTTCAAACCCAGAACAGAACAAAACCATCAGCTTGTTGCTTTAGAGCTCAGCAGAACATGAAACAACAGGTTTAATGTAAAAACTGTCAGAGACAAGTYAGAAACATGCTTTATTTCCTGTTTGAACATAAAATATTAAACTTAGATTCAGCAGAGGTCAATGAGGGTCTGGATGTGTGCATTCAGACCTCTGGAGGGTTTTAGAGGAGACACACTGGGTGAAAGAAGACAAAACACTGCGTGCAAAGTGGAAACAAAATCTAGTGTCCAAAAGATTTAAATAATTTGTATTAGTGATGTAATAAAACATTTATAAATCAAGACAAGCTCAGATGCTGGCTCCTCAGACAAGAGGAAGTCCATTTTGTTGTGGGTTTGGAGTCTCTACACAGCAAAACTGTCAGTGTTAATTTAACACCCACAGTGTTAATTTAACACCCACAGTGTAAATTTCAACACCAACAAAGTGACTATATGTCCACACTCACTGGTGTTAAAATAACATTTGTGAAAGTGTTAAATTTTAACACACATTTTTTGTTAATTTAACACCAGCCAGTGTTCATTATTCAACACTGCGTGTCACATTAACATTTCAACGGTGTTAAAATACAGTGTTAACACACCAGTGTATTATTATT